GAAATGCAAAACACTTCCTCAATACAATACAATAAAAACCAAATGTTCGTAAAGAACATCTGAATAGATGGAGGTCATAAAACGCATTTAAAATGTCTCTAGAATTACATGTTTAGAAATTAGAATAAAGAAATGGTATAAAGGTTAACAAAGAAGTATTGCCAACCTTTATGAATCCTAAGGCCCTCGTGATAACAATGGAAGGTATTGTGATTAGTTGCAAAAAAGGAAAAATACTATAGGTTTAAATTTTTTCATCAAGTCATTTATTCATATGCCAGAGTTCAAAACAACAATCTAAGTATTGCCCTATTGAAGGAGACAACAGTAGAAGTTAAGTAAGAAAGCGACTTTGTTTACATAGCTGGGCAAATCTGATTAATGTCAGCTCACATATCAGCAGTGGCTGTAACTGATATATAGTACAAGCAGTGCATGTTGAGTTGTACAGGCAGAAGTAAGCTGCTTAGCTATCTACCAAAATGGAGATTTCATTATGGATTTTTTTTAGGATTCTTCTGATGGTAACTAGAACTAATTTAGGGCTTTCACATCGAAAGGAGTGAATACGTATACAATCGCAACTTTAACTTTTTTATTTGTAACCAATTTTGCAAACCATATTGACTTTTTGCTCACACTTCAATACTATGGGATATTCTGTGTAGACATAAAATGACATGATCATGGGTACTGCTGTTAGGCAAGCTCTGTCTGTGTCTCAGTATGGATGAGGAACTGGACTGTGGTGCAGAGCTTGAGCATGAGCGCCGTTGGGTCCTACAGCACCTCAAAAAATTTCAATATGCTGGACTAGTCAACGACTCATATAAAGTGAGGCATCATTTATGCCGCCCTTGAACCCAATATATTGTGAAAAAGCATGCTGAGGTAATTTAGCTTATTATTTAACATCGACTGGCTACATTTAAATATGTTTTCCTGTGTTCTTTATTAGACTTCAGGTTAGACTAGATTCCAATAGCTAACATAATTGGCTAGGCAGCAAATCAAATTATAAAGTTTTATTACTTAAAGAATCGTTTTCTTCTCATTCATTCATTATCAAACTATGTAGAGTTAGTCACACATATTGTAGATGACAAGCTCAAATGCAACTTGTATTAGTCAGCAGCAAACGTACAGAGATTGAATGATGTTTTCTGTCAAAAGGGCGTAGTTGCTTTAAAATGAAAATCATCTTCCAAGAGTTTAAAAAATGAGTGAAAGTTACAAGTCACATGAAAACATGGCATTTACTTAATTTCATCAGTTCATATTCAAAAGTCGCTTTTTATGTTTTAATAGTTGATTACGTTTAAAAGTAGCAATTTCTTTACTGTCACTTGAGTGTATTGTTGGCTGGATCCTTCCACTCTTAACTGAGTAAGATTTTAACACATCTATACTTACAATTAAGTATTTCTCAGCACTTTTTCCGCTTCTATATATTTTGATAAATAAACAAAAAAATAAATCATTATGAAAGAGTCACACAGAAAATCCCCACAATGAGCAATACAACTTTGACAGGAGAAGAGGTAAACTTGATATTCCACCCTGTTGAACCATGTGACTTCCACCATTTGGAAATTTCTGTCATGTTCACCTGAACAACACCTCTGCATCTTATGTTTTGCTGGTAATATACTATATTTTATTTTGTATCGTTTTGGTGTTTAAAGCCAAATGTTCAAATTTACACAATGATTGATTTTCAATTACTTCTAATCATTAAAATACTAAAATGCTGACAGGGTAAAACAGGTAATTATGCATAATGTTATGGAACAAAATCAGAAATTTGCAAGAAACAATTCAGATATTGTATCAGTACCGAATACACCATAGAAAGAGTGATTACAGTTTCTAAAAAGAAAGAAAAACCGTACCAGTTCTAACACAGAGATGTCAGTCATGTCCCAGGGCATTTAAATTAATGTGGAATAATCAGGCATGGATAGAAATACAAAATGGGTGAATATATTTGAAATAATAATAATAATAATAATAATAATAATAATAATAATAATAATAATAAAAGTTTGTGGACGCCTGACAAATCACACCCATACGTGCTTGTTGAACATCCCATTATGGATTTAGTCTGTTATACTGTTATAATAACCTCCACTCTTCTGGGAAGGCTTTGGAGCAAGGCTCTGGGGATTTGTCCATTCATTTTTCTCCAAAGAAGACTCAAAATTGACACCATGACGTGCAGTCTTTCCAAAAGAAATATTAATACCAACTCCTTTTCTAAAATTATACTATTCTTGTCTTTTATGGTGTCAGGCTTCATCGTTCTGATGCTCCTACCCCACTGTGTGAACATTAAAAAACAACTGAGAAAAAAAAGACCAAAAATCTTGAAATATGTGAAATGAAACTTGCAGTGCTAGGACTGGGGCTGACATGGAATGGAAAGGAAATGATATAATTAACTGGTTAAGATTACATGCCTGGTACAAGGAAATTGACTTACAGGTAGTAAGAAAGGTGATATGATGGCTAACACAAAAATCTGCACGTTTTTCATGAATGACTTCGGCAAATTGCAGAATACACAAAGAACCAGGAAGCTATTGCATAAGCTATTATAACAGTTTCCAAATATCCTTAGAAGAAATTGCACTGGTTTTTTGATATCTCTTATTTGCATGGTGCCATGGACACTTTTCCCTCAGCCCATGGACAATTTACATTCTTCTGAACAAAGTTTCATTCTGTAGGGTCCCCTTAGGCCATGTAATACTTGTGATAGTGGGGGATACATTGCGTAACAACCCTAATCTTTAAAAGTTGATTAGACTATTTCCGTCTTTCTATGAATTACTTCATATATCTTAAAGATTATTTCCTTACGATAC